ACTGAACTGCCAATGCCATTGGACCACCAGGGAAGGAGAGCCCCCCTCCCTGCCATGTATCAAGCAGGGAGGGGGGACGAAAAATAAATAAATTAAAAATATATAAATAATAATAATAATAATAAAAAAATAATATAACAAAAAATTTAAATAATAATATATAAATAATAAGAATAATTAAAAAAAATAATATAACAAAAAAAATTAAAATAATATATTTTTTTTTATTTTTATAAAAATGCCCACCCCCCCACCAAGGCTCTGCCACACAAGCACACACTGCATCACACACACACACACACACTGCACTCATACACACACACTGCACTCATACACACACACTGCATTCATACACACACCCTGCATTCATACACACACACTGCACTCATACACACACACTGCACTCATACACACACTGCATTTATGCACACACACTGCATCACACACACACACTGCACTCATACACACACACTGCACTCATATACACACACTGCATTTATGCACACACACTGCACTCATACACACACTGCATTCATACACACACTGCATTCATACACACACACTGCACACTCATACACAAACACTGCACTCATACACACACTGCATTCATACACACACTCTGCATTCATACACACACTGCATTCATACACACACACTGCATTCATACACACACACTGCATTCATCATATACACACACTGTAAATAAATATTCAATTAATATAATTTTTTAGGATCTAATTTTATTTAGAAATTTACCAGTAGCTGCTGCATTTCCCACCCTAGTCTTATACTCGAGTCAATACGTTTTCCCAGTTTTTTGGGGTAAAATTAGGGGCCTCGGCTTATATTCGGGTCGGCTTATACTCGAGTATATACGGTATATATGCACACAATACTCAAGGGATTTTTCTATTGATTTCTTTATTAAATATAACCCATATTTACAAGTAAGCATTTTTTGAGACATTGTACAATAAGCAAACCAAACACTTTCAGAAAATTGTGATAGTGTGCAAGTGAGGAGAGCAATGCATTGTTTTGCAATGTCCTCTTGTCACCTGTGACACTGAAAGTGCTTCTACATTGCATTAAGCAATCTTCATGAGCAATTAGAAATCCTTCTAAAATTATTTTGATGTGTAAATGGTTTGGATGCATTGAATCACTATTACAAAATATACAGGAAAGGACACAGGAACCAAAGCCTAGTCTCCATTCAGGTTATATGTATGTGTATATATCATTATATGAATAATATAAATACTTCCTCGTGAAAACAGTGTTTAGGGCAGAAGCGAAATAAGGCAGGTTAACAGGGTGCTATTCAACCATCAGCTTAGCTCACAAAGCAGCCATCTTGCAGAGGTAGAACCTAGCATAGATGCTGTAACTGTTGCTTTGCGACTGCTCTCTGCTGGGAGCCTGGTCAAGTTCTCAGACGCTGATACTAACCAGTCACTTGTAACTAACCACACACAGCCACCTGCTCACCCAGTTACATACATCCAGCCACCCACTCAGTACCCAAATTACCCGGCTTACCCAATCCTTTACGCTCAGTTACCCACGTCCACCTGCCTGCCCAGTCACTTACACCCAGCCACTCACAAAATCACCCACACCCACCCTGTCACACACACCAAGACATCTAATCTCACCCATTCACTTACACCTTCCCAGTCACTTAGACACCTTGTCACATCTCTCCTCCTGACCTGTACAAAGAGATGGAAGTCCAAAATCCTGAGACTTATATGTTTCCTGGTGTCAAAAAAAATCCTGCACCCAGACGTCACCTATCCTTAGTTCCGCACTGTTTTGGGGTAAGCAACAATGCTCCCCTCACACATCCAGTGAACATGGCAGAAGCCCATGGGGCTATTTATAGTTCTTTCGTGGTTATATGGAGGTCCTGGCAACCCATTATTTCTTTATTATTTTTTTGGGGGGGGGAAGGGAATTATAGTTGCTGACAGTACAAAATTTAAGAGTCTGGTATCATTTTCGGGTCACAATCTTAAGAAAGGACAAGGTAGTTAATTCAAAATGTAAAACATCTGTCCCAAGTTCTCCCCAAAGATGTGCAGATAAATAAAAAAAATAAAAACTCAAGATGCAACCTTCTTTGGTCTAGAGACCATCAACTACAGATGTCACCAATCATTGGAAGGCCAATTTAGTTTTTGTGCTGTCTGTCACATGTATTTTGTACAGTAATTTCAGAATAAAGGTGAACTGTCACTTCAATAGACCATAAATGAAACACTGAAAATCACCGACATCTTGTTTACCTTTTCTTCATGTGAGTCTTTGTTTTTCTTTTTTTTTCTATGTAATGTATAATAAAGATTAGAAAATGACATCATAATCCAGTTCAGACAAGGCAGAACCAGGGCAAACAATATAATGAAAAGGAGGAATTTGTCCGGTGCAAATTACAAAGTTTATAATAATGATTAACACGGAGCCAAGATGGCGGCAACCAGACGCAGGATAAAGAGGTGTGGATTGTTACACTTTACATTATTTTCTGCACCTCACATATACTGATTTTTTTTAAATGCAGGAATAAGTAAACATCATATTAAAAATTCTGGAAATTGACAGTTCCCTTTCAAAGATGTAGCAATGATAGCTCAGACCACGCGGGGACAGTTTTTCTGTTTCTCTTGCATTTATTACGTTTAATGACAGAAAAGTGCAGCCCACAGAGTAATGATTGACAGGGAGCTAAGATGGAGGCAACCAGTTTCTGGAGAGAGTTAAATACAGCGGCGTCAAATGATACATTTTATTTGTCAGGCCTCACAAGCAAATAATTGTTAAATATAGAGAATGAATAAACATATTATTAACATAATAAAAGCTACAAATTAATGTGAATTCCCCTTTAATGTAAAAACATCTGTCCTTAAAATAAATAGAGTTCCTGGCTAATATATTTGCATTAGAGAAAGTCCCATTTTCAGGATTTAATTGGACAGTTAGATTGCCAGAGTTAAAATTAAGCTTCCATTTTCATTTTGTTCTTTCTTTTTTCCCTGAGTTAAAACACCAACAAGGTTTTACGTATTTTCTTAAGAATAAATCTGACACTTAAAAACATTACACAAAGGTATATCATGTGTCTTATAAGTTCCCCTTAAGGTGTCCTAAGGGTGTATCAGAGTGGCTGAAGTTCCTAGCTCATTTTATGAGATTTCCGATTGGGTCTCCTACCTCATAAAGAGTATCAAATGTTTATGGCTTATTGAGGCCATTTAGTTTTTTAAAAAAATATTTCCTGCCATTAAATGTTTTCACTAATCAGTTCACACTGCCATTATAAAGAAAATTATTTTATTCTGGTTGTATTTCGCAGTGAGGTCTTGTGTCTACAAAACTAAATAAACTAAAAAGAAAATGTCACAATTTTATACCAGTGTTAATAAATCAAGAATACTGTGCATTAAAAGAACCCTAGAAATTATCCACTTCTTAACCTAAGGAAAGGGATACATGGCAAAAGAATTACATTTCAAATAAACCTTAAATACCGTATATACTCGTGTATAAGTCGATCTCATGTATAAGTCGAGTGCAGTTTTGTGAC